ACTCACTGGAGCATGGTCAGACCCCTGTGGCCAGCCCCCAAAAGATAACTGAGTCCTTCCCCACCCATGCCTCCCCCAGAAGCCATCAACAGTGAAGAGCTACACTTCAGCATCCTTACCACAGTTTTTAACAGTTCTCTTTAGTGACTTTCTGTCTTGGCTGTTACTTTTCTTGGAGGGTAGGGTGAGGTGGAGATAGGGGGTTGTCACAGAAGCCTTCTGTGTTGTAGGAGCTACGGGCCTGCTTTTCGTCCCGCCCGGCTCCCGCACGGCTAGCTTTACACCAGAAATAACAACACACAAATTGTATTCTTTTAAACACTGCTTGGCCCAGTAGCTCTAGCCTCTTACGGACTAATTCTCATATTTTGCCTAACCCATTTTTAGTAATCTGTGTAGCACCAGTCTTACGGGGAAAGATTCAGCATGTCTGACCTGGTGGCTTGCTTCATGGCGTCTGCCCAGGAGAGGGGAGCATGGCCTCTGATCTCACTTCCTCTTCCTCCCAGCATTATGTTCTGTTTACTCCTCCCACCTATGTTTTAACCTATGAGGCCAAGCAGTTTCTTTATTACTTAACCAATGACCTTCCTCCATCACTTCTGTGTCTCTCTTTCTCTGCTGTGAGTCTGCAGTCATCAGTACAATAGCAAAAGGGCTTCCTTGCTCTTTACAGTCAGTGGGAGCATAGATCGGGGGCTTACACATGGTTTCTGGAAACAGCATGGACCACAGACATCCACATGGTCTCTGGCATCAGCACGTGCCATGAACCTTAGCATGGCCCCTGGTGCTGCCCAGGCCACAGGCACATCATAACCATAGGAGGCAGCACAGGCCGCTCACAGCGATATGACCCTCAGTGGCAGCTCAGTCCAAGGACAGCAACGCGGCTTCAGTTGCAGCACAGACCACAGACATACTCGTGACCTTTGGTGGGAACAAAGGCCACGGGCATCAATAGAGACCACAAGTACAGTAGGACCACAGACACAGACAGGGCCCTCAGCAGCAGTGTGGCCCATAGACATCAACATGGTTTTAGGTGGTAGGGCCAGGGACATCCTGGCTACTGTAGGCTACGTGTGTGTGTGTGTGTGTATAGGATATATAATGTACATATATATATACTCACAATATATATAATATGTATGTGTGTATATATATCAGATAGCTCTGCATGCAAATATTCATTGCAATGATTTTTCGGTTCGGTTCAAGGTTTTTGGTTTCTTTTTCTTTTCCTTTCTTTTTTTCTTTATCTTTTTTTTTTTTTTTTTTTTTTTTTTTTTTTTTTTTTTTTTTTTTTGGTCTTTCAAGACAGGTTTCTCTGTAGCTTTGGAGCTTGCCCTGGAAGTCACTCTGTAGAACAGGCTGGCCTTGAACTCACAGAGAACCTCCTGCTTCTGCCTCCCGAGTGCTGGGATTAAAGGCATGCGCCACCACCTCCTGGCAGGGTTTTGGTTTCTGAAGCACTATAAACACTGGACCATTGCTGAGACTCATCTCAGATGTCCTGCTGTTGCCAGAGTCATGGTGATCTAGTTCTGCATGTCTGGCTTCTTCATGCACTACTGCAGCCCCTAGATGGGGTAGATGGTGGGGTGCGCCGACTCAAAGTGCTGGGTCTGGGCCCCGATGATAGCTGAGTTGGTCAGCTGCTGCTGGCTCGGAGCCCAGGCATCTTCTTAATTAGTGGTGGATGCGGGAGGACTCAGGCCCTTGTGGGTGGGCCCATCCTTGCTGGTCCTGCGGTCTGTAGGAAAACAGGCTGAGTAAGCCACAAGGAGCAAGCCAATAAGCAGCCTCGCTCCATGGCCCGTGCATCAGCTCCTGCCTCCATGTTCCTGCCCTCCCTGCTTCTGACGATAAACTGTTGTATGAAAGCCAAATCGACCCTCCCACCCAAGTTGTTTTTATGATGTTTCATGACAGCAACACTAACCCTAACTAAGGCAGACAGTAAACCACATGGTCCGGTGTGCTTTCTGCAAGGGGCATCTTCCAGCCTGACAGGAAATGCGTAATAAAGATGGAAAATTAGGGTTCCATAAGAAGAACAAGATGTCAGGACTTCCCTGATCCTTGTGTGTGTCTGGGTTACAGGCACCAAGCCAGAAGACGCCCCCCCCCCCCCAGCCATGGCAAGGCTGTCTCACAGAGGCCTGAGTAGAGTTGTCCTGTCTGGGTTCTGCCTCTTGTCTCTCCTGGAACCAGGGTCCCACACTCTGCTGTTGTGTATAGGTACCTGTGTCATGTGTGATTGCGGAGGCCGAAGGAAGACATTCCCTGGATGTCCTGTGTAGGTGGAGTTTTCCTGTCCCGACTGCCTGTTCCCAAATAACTGACTCAAAGACTTAATATTAATTGTAAATGCTCGGCTGGTAGCTCAGGCTTGTTACTAGCTAACTCTTACACTTTAAATTAGCCCATGTTTCTTATCTACCCTCTGCCACATGGCTCATGACTTACTACCTCATTTTCTACACGTCCTGTTTCCCCTGAGCCTGTTGACGTCCCTCTCTCTCCCTCAACTCTGCCCTTCTTCATCCCAGCATCCTTAGTTTGATCACCCCACCTATACTTCCTGCCTGGCTATTGTTTGATTGAAAGTGAGACCCCAGCCCTCTAACATCCCTATATCCAAGTAGTCTGGGATGAATGATTGGAAGCATCACCCCAGCCCCTGGCCTGGGAGTTGCCCTGGTCCAACTCCAACTCCCAGCCTACCAAGTGCTGACCCCTCCCACAAGGAGGGTCAAGATCACTCCCACAGGCTATTTAGGCTCATGCCTGAAAAAGGAACATGTGGTTTCTGGTTTGCGTGGGCTCCTCTTCCCACCATGCTGTCTCGGTGGACCCAAGAGTGCCGCATTTGTTAAACACGGGCATTTTAGTTAGGTCTAATCTGGTTTGATTGGAGTTCTTTACCCCGGCGGAGCGGCTGGTATTAAGATTAAACCAAACAGCTATAGCCAATCAGCGTTTTATTAAATCAGTTTGAATGACGAATCTTTACAGCATACAGGAGGATTGTTCCACAGTCCTGCTCTGTCGCTGTTTGCCTTTTGAGACAGGTCTCTCACTGAACCTGGAGCTAGGCTGGCAGCCATCTTCCTGTCCCCACCCCCACAGTTCTCGGGTTATAGGCACGTGTGCAGCCATGCCTGACCTCTTATAAAGGTGCTAGAGATTCTAAACTGTTCCGTCCTGGAAGGGCCTGAATGTTCTAGAAGCTGACTGCCAGGCTGGCTATCTCACCTGTGTGACTTGGAGCACGAGCATGCACGCATGTGTGGCATTGTGCAAGGTCTTCAGCCAGGTGCTGCCGCTGTGGGTGCGCATTGGGAGTCTGTGCCCCTCTTGACGCTTGGCTTGGCCAAGGCTGGGCAAAGGAAACAGATAGGACATATGGCCTCGTGGGCACTGCCATCTGCTGGAAACATTGAGAACTACAGGCAGACAGCCTACAGAGTCCCGCATCGGCTCTCCTGGATCCTGTGAGAAGTCCAACAGTCCTTTTCGCGCGCCCCCCGCCCCCGCTCCTCAGCAGAAAATAGTCTTCCACCATACCCTACAGTCCCCAGAGGATTAAGTAACAATTCAAAGAGCTGTTGTTTTACAAAAGCATAATGTCAGTTTTGCAAAGGAAAGCAATTATATTAAACTTCTAATAAGTATTTCTGTATGCAAATATGTACATGTTTGCCTATATGAGTACTTGTGCACATGTGTGCCCATATATGTGGTTAAAGGCTAGACTACAGGGCAACCTCATGTCTCATTCCCAGCGACCCTCCACCTTGTGCTTCTTGAGATACCGTTTCTCACTAACCTGGAGATTGCTGGCTCAGCTAGGCTAGCCAGTGGGTTCCCAAGGCTCCTGTTTCTGCCTCGCCAGCACTGAGGTGACGGACACATGCCACCGCGCCTGGCTTTGATTTTGTTGTTGTTTTATTTTTGTTTTTTAAACATGCGCTCTGGGAATCAAACTCAGGATCCCAAGGAAAGCATTTCCCCAGTGCAGCTCTCTCTTAAGGGCCCTGTAATGGTTACTTTTGACTGCCACTTTAATGGAATTTAGAAGCATCTAGGACACGAGCCTTTGGGCATGCCTGCGGGGACATTTTCAGAGAGATTTAACAGGGAGAGAAGATCCTCTCTAAATGTGGGCACAATCCCACGGACCTGTGGCCTAAATTTTAAAAAGGAAAAATGACCTGCTGCCTCACTTTCTTTCCCACCACGATGGACCACCTGCCTTGTTACACCAAGAGCCAAAAGGAAGCCTTCCTGAGTCCCTTTGGTCAGGTGTTATAATGGTGACAAGGAAAGGCACAAACACACCTGGGTCAGTGCACCTCTACAGGGTTCTACTTAGTCTGCATCACCGCGAGATGCCTGAGGGACAGCTTGCTTACATAAAGGCTGCTTCCAAGCATCCTTTACAAAGCTTTGTCGACACACAGGGAACAAAACTACCCGGCCACACAGAGTGTGCTGGATGAAGCTTTTATTCAGGGACAATGGCAGGATGTCATGGGAATGAGCGGTACAAGAGAGGACACTATATCTCAGCAGGATGTCCAAGGGCCAACCAGCAGTTACAGCGACAGAGAACTGCTAACCAGCGGTTAAAGCAACAGAGAACTGCTAACCAGCAGTTACAGCGACAGAGAACTACTAACCAGCGGTTACAGCGACAGAGAACTGCTAACCAGCGGTTACAGCGACAGAGAACTGCTAACCAGCGGTTACAGCGACAGAGAGCTACCTTTACAGTCTTGATTGTCCTTATCCAACAGGTGCAGGATGCCCTAGTGTGCTAGGTGCGCAGGTAAGCCTGGATGCCTATATCTGTACCTACTTACCATCCTTTTATTTCCTTTTCTGTGTTCACTCCTTCTTTTTTCTTTCCTTCCTTCCTTTCTTGCTTTCTTTCTTCCTTCCTTTCTTTTTTTTTTTTTTTTTTTTTTTTTTTTTTTTTTTTTTGAGACAGGGACTCCCTATGTGACTCTGGATGTCCTGGAACTTTGTAGGCCAGGCTGACTTTGAACCTGTTCAGAGATCTGCCTGCCTCTGCCTCCCCAGTGTTGGGATTAAAGGTGTGTGCCACCACACCAGGCTTCTACTTATAATCTTTTAAGGTGTCTTTTGCCTCCTGATTCTTCCTTCTGCTACCTTGGGAGCAAGTGAATCTCTATCTCTCTTTCTCTCTCTCTCTCTCTCACACACACAGAGCCCAAATCTTCATTAGCTCCACCTTTCTTTTTGCTCCAACTTTTTCTTTTCTTCTTTTTTCTCAGGAGACCCTGATCTTACAGACTTCAACAAAAGAGGGTCAATTTCTAAAGCAGTCTTCTTCACTCCCCGGTGTTTATTCTGCCCCGCTCCCACCACCCAGCTTTCAGCAAGCAGGCAGGGAACAGAACAGCCTGGTGATGGAACTGCAGAGACAAAGGAGAGAGGAGCAGGCTCAGGGGCTGCATTTGAGTTTTGGCTCAGGCCCATCCCAGCAGCCAGCTTTGTAGACACACAGCAGATCATCTGAGATGCGCCACCAAACACGTGCTCATCCTTCCTTCCTTGCTGTAAGCGTGTGCCCATCTGAGTGTGCGTTACCTTTCTCTCTGCATCCGTAACCCTCTGTGACCTCCTTCCTAGTTCTCTCCGGTTCAGGCAGAATTGCATTGAGGAAGGCCTCAGGAATCCCCAATGAGCAACAGACGAGCTAACAGGAAAGCAAAGGGCGAGGGGCAGCCAGGTCCACTTGGGAGAGTCTTAAGAGGACACACGACTATCAGAATCCTGCTCTGCACGGGGGTGGGGGGGGCAGGGGGGAGAGCTTATAGCGGTGACTAGAGTGTACGGATGAGTGGATGACAGCTGGGAGGGCGGCACAAAGACAAATGACAACAGCTGGGCTGTACAGATCAAAGGCCAGTCTGGGCCAGTGGCCACACCTGTGTAAACCCCTCCTGCTCAGTAGCATACGCCACCCTGCCTGAAGCTCCCAATGGGTGATCAGTGAACACTGAGAGGAATGGGGTGGGTTGTTCACACGTTGTAAGTCTTCATGGGTTTGTAGAGGGGCGGCAGCAGCCCGTGGTTCTCGCGGACAATTTCCAGGTACTCAGATGGCGAGTCCAGAAAGAGGGATCCACAGCACAGCTGGCAGCAGCACTTGAGCCCAGTGACTTCCGGACTCTGGTCAGACAGGGGAGAAAGGTCAAAATCAGTTACCTATGGTGAACAAGACCCCATGGGTCAATTACCGCCCTTTGGTTCCCCTGCCAGCCTGTTCTGTGGACTTGAAAGCTCAGCAGGAGAGAGACAGTCAGATGGGGCACCAGCTAGCTCAGCAAGTCTACCATGTCTGTCTGGTGCATCATCCCAAACGTCAGGATTTAGCAGGACTCCCTCCAGGCAGACTGGTCCACCTACCCTCCCTGGATCAGTGGTCTAGCCTCCACCCTACAGGGCACCTACCCTCCCTGGATCAGTGGTCTAGGATCAGTGGTCTAGCCTCCACCCTACAGAGCACCTACCCTCCCTGGATCAGTGGTCTAGCCTCCACCCTACAGGACACCTACCTCCCTGGATCAGTGGTCTAGGATCAGTGGTCTATCCTCCACCCTACAGGGCACTACCTCCCTGGATCAGTGGTCTAGCCTCCACCCTACAGGACACCTACCTCCCTGGATCAGTGGTCTAGCCTCCACCCTACAGGGCACCTACCTCCCTGGATCAGTGGTCTAGCCTCCATCCTACAGAGCACCTACCTCCCTGGATCAGTGGTCTAGCCTCCATCCTACAGGGCACCTACCTCCCTGGATCAGTGGTCTAGCCTCCACCCTACAGGACACCTACCCTCCCTGGATCAGTGGTCTATCCTCCACCCTACAGGACACCTACCTCCCTGGATCAGTGGTCTAGCCTCCACCCTACAGGGCACCTACCCTCCCTGGATCAGTGGTCTAGCCTCCATCCTACAGGGCACCTACCTCCCTGGATCAGTGGTCTAGCCTCCACCCTACAGGACACCTACCTCCCTGGATCAGTGGTCTAGCCTCCACCCTACAGGGCACCTACCCTCCCTGGATCAGTGGTCTAGCCTCCATCCTACAGGGCACCTACCTCCGCTATGTCCTTCTGTTGAGTAGCACTCCGCACAGTCATGTACATGACGAAAACCAGCAACACGGTGATCAGCGTGGCACAGGGGAAAGCAAAGACAAATGGCTGGAAGGCTGGGAAGAAGAGAGCGCAGTTAGAGGCCTGGATATCTGGTGTTGAAATGCTGGCTCATGGGAAAAGGCATGTACTACCAAGCCTGATGACCTGAGTTCCACCCCAGGTATGAACACGATGGTGGAAGGGAATAACTGGCTTCTCATCGTTGTTCCCCGACTTCCACGTGTGTGCTGTGGCACATATACACATATACAAGCACACACAGCAGCCAGGCGGTGGGGCCACATGCCTTTATTCCCAGCACCAGAGAGACAGAGGCAGGCAGAGCTCTGAATTCGAGGCCAGCCCGGTCTACAGAGTGAGTTCCAGGACAGCCAGGGCCACACAGAGAAACCCTGTGTTGGAAAAAGAAAGAAAGAAAGAAAGAAAGAAAGAAAGAAAGAAAGAGGAAAGAAGGAAGAAGCCCCCACAGTAAATAAATATATAACTGTTTTGTAAATATGTCGGGTTTTTGTGTGTATTTGTGAGCACATGAATATATTATGTATGCAGATATATATGTGTGCACAGGTGTGTGTGGGTGTATGGAAATCAGGACAACTCTCAATGCTGTTCTTTAGGCTCCTCCTTTGGCTTTTTGTTTGAAACAGGATCAAGACCTCCATCAAGCAGGCCAGACTGGCCAGCTCCAGGGATTCACCTGTCTCTGCCTCCTAGCTATGTCCAGCTTTTTACACAGTTTCTGGGGACCGAACTCTGATCCTCACGTTTGCAAGGCAAGCACTTTATTGACTGAGCCCCAAATTCTGGCCCTAAAGAAGCAAGCACAATGGAGGTGAAAACAGGCAAACTCCATTAGAGAAATTCTTCTCCCATGAACATATATTCTATTTCCACAGGAAAATCCAGAATTGAATGAAAAATTTTAAAGCAACAACCTGGGACTGGGGAGATGGCTCAGTGGTTGACCACTTGCTGCACAAGTTTGAGGATCAGAGTTCAAATCCCCAGAACCCACATAAATCCCAGGTGGGCACAGTGGCTTACAGTAGTTCCAGCCAAGGAAGGTGGAGACAGGATTACCAGAGCCAACGGGTACAGAGTCTAGCCATGTTAGCAAGCTCTGGGTTTGACTGAGAGACCCTACCTCATTGAATAAAATGGAAGAGTGATCAAGAATGGTTCTTTTTAGATAATTTCATTAATATTTAATTGTGTGTGTACACACGTTAGTGCAGTGCCCATGTATGCCAGAAGGGGGCATTGGATCCCCCTAGACCTGGAATTACAGAAGTTATGAGCTCCCCAATGTGGGTGCTGGGGACCAAACTCAGGTCCTCAGCAAGAGCAGTGTGCACTTTTAACTCCTGAGCCGTCACTTCAGCGGGAGGATGATTCTTTTTATTTCTTTATGTGTATGATTGTTTTGCCTTTATGTCAATGTGTATCTGGTGTCTGTGGAGGTCAGAAGGCACTGGATCCTCCGGGGACTGGAGTTACAGATGGCTGTGAAACACCCTGTGGGTGCTGGGAAATGAGCCCGGATCCTCTATAAGAGCAACAAGTGCTATTAACTGCTGAGCCTTCTCTCCAGCTCCCCAGAAGATGATTCATAACACGAAAATCAGGCATCTACGCGGGCCTCTAACCTCACACCCCACCACACACATACACAAAGAAGAATAAAGTATGAGAATGTTTAAAAATATATCCCATAATCTACTTGGTAGTTGTTAGGTTTCAAAGAAACAATGGACAAGCCTCACTCAGTATCTGTGGCTCCTCCTTGTTTTCCTGGCATCCCCCGGTACCTGTGGCTCCTCTCAACACCCTTCACCATGATCCCTCCCTAAGCCCCTCCCTCCCAGGGGCTGGGCTTCCATGTCTCTTGCCCAAGCCTGATGCCTATAAGGCAACCATTTTGATCACTTGGTCTCTTGGCCCTGGCTGCCTCTCTTGGTCAAGGGCTCCTCTCTCCTCTCATGGTCCAGTTTAATCTGCCAGCCATGTTCAGCCTGTACTCTTCTGCTGGCTGCATTCTCCCTTCTATCTACCATAAAAGTCTTCTCTGTGCTTTAGGAGTGGTCATATCATCCTTTCATTTCATTTCTTTTCTTTTTTAATTCAGTGGTCTCTTCTCAGGGGCAGTTAAAGTCAGGTGGTCATGGGTTCAAATCCTTGCTCTGAACATGCTACGTGAGGCTCACCTGAGAGGCTGCCAGGAGAGAGCAGTGAGGTGAGGGGTGAGAATGTGCTGGCTTGGCAGCTGATCACTCTTCCTTCACCATCACGAGGCTGATTCCCAAGAAAAGGTGGTGTGTGTGAGTGTGTGTGAGTGTGCGTGTGCAGACGCACTTCCCTGCAGAGGCCAGAGGTCAATGTCCGCTATCTCCCCCAATTGCTCAGTACACTCTGCCTTGTTTTTCAAAGCTCATGTTTGTTTTGTTGGATTTCTTTTTTTTTAATTTGCACTTATTTAATATTTACTTACTCTGTGTGTGTGCGCGCGCGTGTGTGTGTGTGTGTGTCAGAGAACAACTTTGTAGAGTTAGCTTTCTCCTTCCACTATATCCTTCCTGGGGCTAGAACTCAGATCCTCAAGCTTAGCGGCAAGCCCCTTTACCCACTGAGTCATCTTGTCAGTCCATTCTTATTTGAGTTGTTCGTTTGAGGCAGGGTCCCACTTGGTAGCCCTGGCTAGCCTAGAACTTCTCTATAAACTAGGCTGGCTTTGAACTCACAAAGCTCTGCCTGCTTCTGCCTCCCAAACATTAAAGTTGTAGGCATGCACCACCACACCCAGCTTCTTCCTTATTTATTTATTTATTTATTTATTTATTTATTTATTTAGATAGGGTCTCTTACTGAATTCGGCTAGACTGACTGTCCAAGGAGCCCTAGAATCCTCCTATCTCTACATCCCTGCCCCTAGTACTGGGGTTACAGACCCAGGTTGCTGCATCCGCTTTTATGGGTTCTGGGGATTGGAACTCGGGTCCTCATGTTTGCACAGCCAGCATTTTACCTACCCACGGAGCCATCTTCCCAGCTCTGGGCCAGTATCTTCTCCACGGAATTCATGGAGTTCTGGACACTCACCAGAGCATGTTAGAGCCAGCAGAGCCCAAGGGACCCAAGGAGGCCCCTGAGGTCATCCAGGGCCTAGGCTGGGGTAGAGTTCTTGAGGTTCAGAAAGAGACCAGAGAATAGGGGGATCGGTAATGACAATGGCAGTGAGTAAGTGGGAACACGTGGGAGCTGATTTCTTTGTTATTGTTTAACGATGCTGATGTTCATGGGGGTGTCGGTGGGGTTGATGGGGGCTGTGTTGCTAGGTTGGTAGAATGTTAAGGACTGTATTGGCAGAATTTGGTGCTGGCGGTGGTGCTGGGCTGGGTAGAGTATTATAAATAGTATTTAGTGGGGGTGATGAAGTTGATAGAGTGTTAGGGATAGCAGGATGGGATTTGGTTGTGGTACTGATGTTGGTAAGGAGTTGGTGGTGGTATGGATGGGGTTTGGTGGTGGTATAATGGTCAGTATGGTGAGCTGGCGTTGGTAGAGTTTGGTAGTAATGCCTAGAGTGGTAGAGTGTTAAGGATGCTTCTGGTGGTGTTCGCTGTTGGTGCAGAGGTTGGCAGAGTGCTGGAGATGGTGTTGGTGGGGCTGGTGGTGGGGCTGGGGTGGCAGAGTGTCAGTGATGGTATTGGTGGAGCTTACTGCCTCTGCTAAGGTTGGCAGGGTATTCAGGATAATAATGGTGGAGTTTGGGGTTGGTGCTGAGATTGGTAGTGTTGATTGTTGGTGGAATCTGGCGATGACAATGTTGGCAGAGTCGGTGATGGTGGTGGTGGTGTTAGTGGCTTCAGCATTTGGTCATTGAAACGTGGACTGTTTCTCTACCCAGGAGAACTACTTGTGATGTTAGTGCTGGCGGAGTCAATTCTTGATAATCGGCGACCAAGCGATTGGCCGGTCACCAGAGCTGGTGGCAGGCTTTTGATACCTATTAATGGCACTGCAGCAGAAGGCAAGGTGTCACTTACTGGAGGGCCACACCTGAATCCTATGGAACTGGTCTGCCCTGCTGATGGCATTCTCAGCTCGGAAGATGAAGCAGTAGTCCCCGGGGTTCTGGAAGACGTGGGTCACGTTCAAAGATGTGCCGGTCACCAACACCGGGTGGCACTCTCTGTCCTCCACTGGGAGACATGCCGGCTTGAGGCCCCAGCACACCTGCAGAGGGGGGCTAGAGAGGAGCAGGTACACATTTTCAGAAGTGGCTTGTGACCACGCCCAGCGAAGGTGACAGGGTAGAAACTTCAGAGTCCTTTCCATATGGATACCAGGCTGCCCCGGTCCACGTGATGGTTCATCTTTAACAGGACTTAGAATCACCACGGAAACAAATCCCTGGGCATGTTTGTGACAGGGTTTCTAGGTTAGGTTAATTAAAGTGGGAAGTCCCACCCTGAATGTGGGTGGCACCGTTCGATGGGTTACAGTCCTAGATTCAATAAAAAGGGAAAAGCAGGCTGAGTACCGGCATCTATCACTCTCTGCTTCCAGACTGTGGATGTCATGTGAGCAGCTAGCTAAAGGTCCCTCTGCTCTGCCTCCCCGCCACGAACTGTGAGCTGAAGTAAACCCTTCCTCCCTTCGGTTGCTTTCACCTGGTATTGTGTAGCAAGGAAACAGTTAACTAATACATCTCAACATCAAACACTCCAGATGCAGGAAATCAAAAATATGGAAGAGAGCCGGGCGGTGGTGGCGCACGCCTTTAATCCCAGCACTCGGGAGGCAGAGGCAGGCGGATCTCTGTGAGTTCGAGACCAGCCTGGTCTACAAGAGCTAGTTCCAGGACAGGCTCCAAAGCCACAGAGAAACCCTGTCTCGAAAAACCAAAAAAAAAAAAAAAAATATGGAAAAGCTCCGCCCACAGTTCTTCCCCATTTCACAGCAACAGGGCAGAACGCTAGCGTGCTTGCACGAAACCCAAGCTCTTCAAGGGACAGAACAGGATCTTTCCCGTCACTGGAAGTCTAGAGAAGCCACAGAACACACACACAGCACTCTGGGGGTTCACTCACCTCCCGAGGAATTTCAGGCTCATTGTCAACTTTTGGAATGTCTGCAAGAGGGTGGGCGCCGAAATCTGGATGCCTTGAAGGGCCTCTGTAAGAAAGGAGGAAGCCGTTAGGCCCGGTGGCTGAGGATCAATACGAGCTGCACAGCCCCTTAGCATGCATGGCCACCCGTGTCCTTGTCTCTCAGCCACTCTCTTACCCACTGTCTCTAAGCCATTGACTATGCCAGAAGAAAAGCACCAGCCAGAACCAGAGGCAAGGAATCCTCCCAAGGGCTGGAGAGACAGCTCTTTGGATGTCCTAATTAGTTAACTGTCATCCTGACACAGCCTAGAGTCACCCGAGAAGAGAGTCTCAATTGAGGGATGGTTCGGGTCACATTGGCCTGTGGACATATCTGTGACGGATTGCGAGAGGACCCAGACCACTGTGGGCAGCACCACTCTCTAGGCATGAGGTCCTGAGCTAGTTGCATCTGATCTGGTGATGAGCTGCCACTCTGCAGGCCTCCATAGCCTCTGCTGTACTTCCTTGACATGAGTTCCCTGGTTGGAGGGAATGTTGTGTGGAATAGCAAGTAGGCCTGCCTTCAGGTTCCTGCCTTGAGTTCTTTCCTTGACTTACTTCACTGATGGACTGCAGCCTGGAGTGTAAGCCAAATCAACTTTTCCCTCCCCTGAGTTGCTTTTAGTCAGGATGGGTTTTTTTTTTAATATTTATTTATTTATTTATTATGTATACAATATTCTGTCTGTGCATATGCCTGCAGGCCAGAAGAGGGCACCAGACCCCATTACAGATGGTTGTGAGCCACCATGTGGTTGCTGGGAATTGAACTCAGGACCTTTGGAAGAGCAGGCAATGCTCTTAACCTCTGAGCCATCTCTCCAGCCCCAGGATGGGTTTTTTGTTGTTGTTGTTTCTTTCGTGTTTGTTTGATTTTGAGACAGATTTCTCTGTGCAGCCCTGGTTGTCCTGGAATTTGCTCTGCTGAGCAGGCTGGTCTCAAACTCAAGAGATCCGCCTGCCTCTGCCCCCTAAGTGCTGAGAGTCAAAGTGTGCGCCTCCACCACCTTGCTTGTCAGAGTGTTTTATCACAGCAAGGGACAAACCGGAACCGCCGGTAAAGTGTAGAGATGCATTTCACCCCAGCACCTGAAAAGCTGCTGGGCACGGCGACATCTGCTCGGAATCCCAGCGCTGGGCAGAGGAGATGCATGCATCCTTGAGAGTCACCGGCCACCCAGACTAACCTACTAGGTGAGCTCCAGGCCAGTGACAGATGCTTGTATCAAGAGGAGGGTATTGAGCCAGGAATGGTGGCACACTCCTTTTATCCTAGCACTTGGAGGCAGTGGCAGGCCAATCTCTGTGAGTTCCAGGCCAGCCAGGACTACACTGTCAAAAATGATTAAAAAGGTGGACTGGCATCTGAAAACTCAAGGTTTTCTTCTGACCTCCATGTGCGAATGCACGTAAGTGTATACACACACACACACGTTATGCATGGACTTGGGTGGACATGCACATCATGCATGTACCCACACAGCCACCTATACACACATACAAAGAAACCTCTGAAAACTGCCCAACATCAGGGAGCTAGACTGAGGCTTCCCACCCTCCCGAGCCAGCTTTGATCTGAAGCCGTAATAACTAGAGAACAAGGACCATCAAGGACCAGCTCCTTAGTGGTAGGTGTCTGGTCAAGCTCCGATTTGGGGGCAGGATGGCCTGAACTCAAATGCCAGCTCTGCTAAGGAATGACTGTGTGACTCTGTCTGCAGCCTTGGGTGGACTCTCCCGAGCAGACATGAACAGTGGAGATGGCTCTGAGAATATCCATTCAAGTGCAGCCCCATGCTAGCACAGAGTCACGTGGATCCGGAAGGATCGCTGTCTTGGGCTCCTCAGGCACCGTCAACCTGGCAGGAGACCTACCCCGAAGCCTTAAGGAAGCCGAGAAGTCTCCGCTCTTCTGCACGATGCCCTTCGTGGCATCCGGCTTTGTCTGCTCCCATTCTGCCACCACCCTGACCTTCACCGTGAAGGTTCCAGCATTAGAATAGTTGTAATAGGCCACAGGGTTGTCGGTTATCAACAAGGTCCTACAAGAAAACGAGAAGGGATCTGAACGCAACCGTTTCCCCTTCCAGGAATTCGGAAGTGCATCCCGCAAAGCATCATGGAATCACCTGTATCTCCAGCGTTCGAGAGGCTGAGGCAGAATCTTAAGTTCAAGGCCAGCCTGGGCTACACAAAGCTTTGTCTCCAAAGTGGAAACAAACAAAAACCAAAACCCGTAGCTTTTAAATTTAAAGTTGTTGGTTCTAGCTTTCTATGGTTGTGTTTGTTTGGTTTTGACTTTTGAGGTAGAGGCTTATGAGCCCAGGCTAGCCTTAGACTTGCTCTGTAGCCCAGGTTGGCCTTCATATCCAGATACTCCTACCCACACACCCCTCCCCCGAGTGCTGGAATTAAAGGCCTGTGCCACCATACCAGGGTCTCATCCATTCTTAGGGTGGGGCAGATTCCTCAGTGGTTAAGACCATGCTCATGCAAAAGACCTGAGTGCAGTTGGTTCCCAGAATCTATGCTGGGCAGTTCACAACACCTTTAACTTGAACCCTGGGCGACCTGTCACTCTCCTGTAGCCCCAACGGGCACCGGGCACTCATCTGCACTTATCCATACTCAGACATGAACACACACGCATTCATGTGACTAAGAAAAATAAAAACAAGCCTAGAAAAAAAACAAGAACAATTCAACCAATCAAGATTTCTTTTGGGGTTAAGCCCTTTAAACCCCTCAGGGTCCAGAAAGATGGCTACGACAGGGGAAAACTGGCTAGGGAAAGGGATCTGGGGGAGCAGGCCTAACTGACTGACTCAGCTCCTTCTTCCTGCTTGTTTCTTTCCTTGGCCGTGAAGAAAAAAGAGAAAGGCGAGGAGAAAAGGGCTGTTCTCCACAAAGCTTTGGGTTTATGTAGGCAAGCAGACAAGTTAGTAAGCCCGTAGGCGGTAACAATAGTATCAAACAGGCATTTCACAGAATCACAAAAACCAGGTGGATCTGACAAGGAGGCGCCTTAGGCCTCAGAGGGGGCTTGATTTGAATTAGCGTCTAGCTGGTTGAGTTAAAAGGAATCTCTTTTGGAAACTTTGCTTTTGACTCCAGCACGGTGCCCAGGTGAGAATTTTCCTCTCTGAAGCTAGTTTTAGCCGTATAAACAGTATTATAAAAGGCTATGATCTTATGTTAGCTGAATCCAAGGTGAAGGGTAATATAGAATATCAGTAATTTGTTTAGAGGGCCAGCAGATTCCACCTTCTAGTCTGCTGCTAGAGCAAATATACCACCTCCTGTTTGGGGTTCCTTTCTTACCAGTGCGTATTGTCAATAAAGTTGTGGGGGCCTAGTTTTATGTAGATTTTGGCTGTGAGAACAAAGGTTTGACTGAGTAGATGCTTTCACACCAATGCTTCAAGGTGTGGGGAAGGTATTGGGTTGCCCAAGGTGTGGGGAAGGTATCTGGTTGCCCTACAGGAACAGTCAGGTTTACACTGCCGGGATATCTTAGAAGGAAGAAACGCCATGATTCCACGAGGTTTCTACCGAATTGACAGTGACTTATACAAAAGACAGGAGTTCCCGCAACTCTGCAAACCCGGTTCTTTACAATATTATATAGAGAGAGAATTTGCCTAGTGGTCTGTCTGCTGTACTTTTACTGTATAATACTTGTGGGCTCACATTTGACGTTAATAAGATGCCTCGGTGGGTAAAGTACTTGCCACCAATCCTAATGACCTGAGTTTGATTGATCCCCAGAATTCGTGTGGTGGAAAGAGAAAACTAACTCCCACAAGCTGTCCTCGAACTTCACACACAGGGAGAGACAGAGAGAGGAAAGATTTCTGTGTAGTTCTGCCCTGGGACTCTCTTTGAACTTACAGAGATCCACCTGCCTCTGTCTCCGCCCCTGCCTCTGCCTCCTTGTAGTAATAAGAGGCGGCAGGGCTGCGTCCCCCACACCCGGCCGCCCACATGGCTAGCTTATGCCCCAAAATAATTACACAGACACTGTATTCTTTTAAGCACTACTTGGCCCTTTAGCTCTAGCACTTACAGGCTAATTTTCACATCCCGATCAACCCATCTCTAATAATCTGTGAGAACCGGTCTTACCGGGAAGATTCTAGCCTAGTCCATCCTGGGTCGGAGCTTCATCCCAGGAGCGGGGCATCGCGTCTGTCTCTGAGGCATCTGCTCCCGAGAGAGCAGAGCTGTGTAGTCTCTGACCTCACTTCCTCTTCCTCCCAGCGTTCTGTCCTGTTTTCTCCTCCCACCTATCCTCTAACCAATAAAATGGGCCAGGGCAGTGCCTTTATTAGCCAATGACCTTCCTCCATCACCTCCTGAGTGCTGGGTCTAAAGTGCACACCACCACCTGGCGGGATTTTATTTTTTAATAGAGTAAACAGCTGGTCATGGTGGCCCACACCTTCAATCCTGGAGAGGCAGAAGCAGGCATATCTCTGAGCATTTGAGACCATCCTGGTCTGTATAATGAACTCCAGGGCAGTCAAGGTTCTGTAGTGAGACCTTGGAGAGAGAGAGGCAGAGAGGGAGAGAGGTGGGAAGGGAGCGCGGGAGGGGGGTGGGGGGGGGTGGCAATGCATACCCGTCTCCGAAGTCCCATCGGTAGAAGAAGGAAGCTGACTTGAAGAAGTCACTCGGGTCATGGAGGAGGAAGGAGATTTTGAGGGTTTTCTTGGTGATGTAGGAGTTCGGCCAAGACACAGAGGAATTTTGGGTAATGACTAGGTTTCCCACAAGTGACTCTGAGCAAGACAAAAGGAGAGTGAGTCTCAGAGGCAGGGAGAGCCAGAGCGTGACCTCGGGCAGGAACAAAGCAACCACTCCCTGGTTCATCCTCCTCCGACCTTCAGAACTACGTGCAGTGTGGGGGACCCCACAGATCCCTCAACACAGAGACATCCCAGTCACCCCCTGCTGGCAGCGACTCACAGCACATGCCAAATGCTCAACCTGTGTCCCTGCCCCCACCTCCCTTTCACAGTGACACTACTCTTTCTGGCAAAGAGGCCACCCACCAGGAAGAAAGGCATGGGCTGAAGGAGGACATGATGCCTACACTTGTAATCCCAGCACCTGGAAGGCTAGGACAGGAGGATCAAGAGTTCAAAGCCATCCTTGGCTATTCTGTGAGTTGGAGGTCATCCTGGGCTACATGAGACCCTGTCTCAAAACAAACCAATTTGCATCAGAACTGAACACATATAGACTATTTTTGCTGTTGTTAATATTGTCTAAGAAATACAGCGTAACAACTACTCCTACGGGGTTTATATTGTATCAGACCCTGTGAAACATGGGGGTGGGATTTAAAGGATGTGGGAGGGGCTGGGAATGTGGCTCAGAAAGCGGTCAATTGCCTAACACACAGGAGGCTCTAAGTTCCATCCCCAACACCAAGAACATAGTGGAGGACTAGAGCTGGTGCAATCACAAGGACCAGAGTTCAGATCCCAGCATCCACAAGGGATGGCTTGCAGGACGTCTGCGGCTGGAGCGTTGAGCTGTCTGCTGCCCTCTTCTGGCCTTTGTGACAACTGCATGCATTTTCGTTAGCAGAGTTTATGTGCTTGGTTACATAAATTCTGTGCTTGCATTACTTCCTAAATAATTTTACAAACATAGGCATTTCCACTCAGGACATTAAAACTCACCTGAAGGGTCATGATTAATAATTGCATAAATTGGGACTATTGAGATGGCAACCATCTCAATAGGTGAAGGCACCTACCATTGAGTCTGACGGTCTGAGTTCAATCCCCAGGTCCCACAGAGAAGAAAGAGAAAATCAACTCCTGCAAGTTGTCCTCTCACCTCCACATGGACACCATGGCCCAGGTACCCACATACATGTACACCCTCACTAAATAAATAAATGTAGTAAAAAAAAACACTTTTAAATACTTATATACATTAGCTGCGTGTCATAGCATATGCCTAAAATCCTAACCCTGAGGAAGCTGAGGCAGGAGGATCTTCTTGACTTCAAAATCAGCCTGAGCTCTCTAACAAGACTCCTTCCCTTCCACAACTCCTGAAAAAGGCACACGAATTACTTCAGTGTCTTTAATCAGTCCCCTAAGGGTTGTGTATCTCCCGTGTTTATATCCCGTTTTCCCTATTATCATCATCTTGCGCGTCAAGCATTGCTCAGGTGAAGGCTGATTTCTTGAAGGTAAATTCATTTGACTATAAGCCCCAAGTGGGTGCTGGGATCTGGACTCTGGACCTCTGCCAGAGCAGCAAGTCCTCTTAACTGCCAAATTGTTTCTCTAGGTGTGTGTGCCTGGTGCTTTAGGAGGTCAGAGAAGGTTGTTGGATTGCCTTGGGCAAGAGTTACAGACAGTTGTGAGCTGCCTTGTAATTGAATCACAGTAGTCTTCAAGAGCAACAAATGCCCTTAACCACTGAGACAATTGTCCAGTCCTTTAAAAAAAAACTGTTGTAATTACATTTATTTGTTTATCTATTTATTTATTTATTGTCTATGTGCATGTGTGTGTGTGCCTGTGTGTGCAATCATGCCATGACATGAATGTCAAGGTCAGAAGGTAACTTGCAAGAATAGGTTCTCTCTTTCTACCATGTAAGTCCTGGGGATTGAACTCAGGTCTTTCAGGTTTGCAGCAAGCACCTTTACCTGCTGAGCCATCTCGCTGACCCTATTTTCCCAACTCTTTTTTTTTTTTTACTTAATGAACAACCATGAAACAATTCATGTTTATAATTTGCATTTGTTTGATTACTGCCAATTATCAAGGCTGGATTTTTTTTTTCTGCCCCAAGAGCTTGAGAACAGCAGAGATGGCTCAGTTGGTGAGGTGCTTGCTTTGAAAGAATGAGTCAAAAGAGCTGGGCATGGTGGTGGATTGCATTTGTAGTCCTGTTACAGGGTATTTATTTAATTATGTAAAGATGCGTTGCTGTTTTACCTTGCCTGCCTAAGGCACCTAACTGGTCTAATAAAAAGCTGACCAGCCAATAGTGAGGGAGAAGGGATAGGCGGTACTTCCAGGCAGGGAGAGTAAGGAGGAGGAGGAATTTAGGTTTGGGGAAGAAAGAAAAGGAGATGACAGGAAGCCACCAGGGAGATGCCAAGGGCCAGACAGACAGACACGGAGGAATCAGGAAAGTAGGGCATACAGAATGAAAGAAAGGTAAAAAGCCCCGAGGCAAAACATAGATGAATAGAAACAGGTTAGAGTTAAATGAGCTAGTGGGACAAGCCTAAGCTAAGGCTGACATTCATAATTAATAACAAGTATCTTAATTTGGGAGCTGGTTGTCGGCCCAAAGAAAATGCCAACTACATAATCCCAGTGCTGGGGCTTAATGGCCAGCCAGCCTGTCTAACTGGTGAGCTCACCAATGGGAGATCCTGTCTCAGTCTAAAAGGGTGGATGCAGCCTGAAGAACAATGCCAGAGGTGCTCTCTCTCTCTCTCTCTCTCTCTCTCTCTCTCTCTCTCTCTCACACACACACACACACACACACACACACACACACACACACGCACGCACAAGAACATATACATTCAAACACACATGCATAAGACTTGAAAGCAGGCCTGGTGGCGTATCGCAGTGGTAAACTCTTGCACAGCATGTTCGAGGCCCCGGGTTGCCCAACATGGGAGAGTTTTGAAAGCACATAAGTAAACAAGAAAGGCCCTCAGGGATCCTCACCTTTGATGGGGAGGACCAGAGCACTCCTGGCTAAGGGCTTGCACATCCAGCAGTCGACAGCAGTGACCCAGACAGTGATTGGAAAGTCCCCAGGCCTGTTGCCCACCACATGGATGGTTGAGGTTAGATTCTTCTCGGTCTTGGCAGTGAGAGTCAGTGGCGCGTGGATCCAGTGGAAACGGTAGAGGTGGGCGTCTGTAGGCAGGGACAGGTTGCCATTGTCCTTGATCACCAGGCTGGCTGAGATGGTCACTTCTGTGCCAATGGTAGCGGGACCATCAGTAGTAAGACTAAGATTATAGAGACCTAGGAGACACATGCAGGCCAGGTTTCAGGAAGACAATGAGGAATCCCTCAGCAACCTTTCCAGTCATCAATAACAGCATTGGGGCCAGCAAGATGTCATCACATCAAATCTGATGGCATGAGTTTGATTCCCCGGTCAAAGAAGAAAGCCAACTCCCCCAAGTCTTCCTCTGTCCCCTTCAAATAAATGTAGCATTGCAGAGTGTCTCTGTTTATTTACAGGGGATCCTTAACAAGACCCCTACTTGATGTCCAGACCCACAATATCCTGTGTTTTCATCCTTGTTCATTTGTTAGCTCACTCATTCACACATATGGTTCATGGGGAACTTTGAATCAGGCGCCATCAGAGATTAACAATAGTAACTACTAATAAAATGGAACCAGCCTTTAATCCCAGCATTTGGGAGGCAGAGGCAGGCGGATCACAGTGAGTTCGAGGCCAGCGTGGTCTACAAAGTGAGTTCCAGGACCGCCAGGACTGTTACACTGTGAAACCCCATCTTGAAAAACCAACCAACCAACCAAATAAATAAATAAATTAAATTAAACTAAGATTGGTGGTGACGGTAATCCTAGCTCCAGAGAGGCTGAGGCAGGAGGACTAAATGTTAGAGTCCACCCTGGGCTACATAATGATCGTGTTCAAGGCCAGTTTGGGCTATATAGTGGGACTCCAGCTAAAGAAACAGAACAAAGCTGGGCTGTTGTAATTCATACCTTTAATCCCAGCACTCGGGAGGCAGAGGCAGGCCTACGTATTCCAGACTGGTGTTGAACTTATGGCAATCCCCCTACCTCCCTGTCTAGAATGAGCTGATACATGCTCGTGCCACCACACCCAGCTGGGCTCCACTCATTTCACTAAGACCCACATTCCCAGCCAAAGTCCCTGAGTGGGGCTCACGACTTCTTAGGCATTGATACAGCAAGTAGTGTGCATTCCCTTTGTACTCTGTCTGCACTGTAACCAAATGTAACTAAGTGTAAATTAGCCTAATGTTACTGCTTGCATCTATTTAAATAAAGCTTTATGTTTCTCAGGCACTGCACCACCACCACCACCATCATCATCACCACCACCACCACCATCATCACCACCATCATCACCACCACCACCACCATCATCACCACCACCACCACCACCATCATCACCACCATCATCACCACCACCGTCACCACCACCACCACCACCATCACCACCACCACTACCACCATCATCACCACCACCACCACTACCATCACCACCACCACTACCACTACCATCACCACCATCACCACCACCACTACCACCATCATCACCACCACCACCACTACCATCACCACCACCACTACCACCACCACCACTACCATCACCACCATCACCACCACCACCACCATCATCACCACCACCACCACCATCATCACCACCACCATCACCACCACCACTACCACCATCATCACCACCACCACCACTACCATCACCACCACCACTACCACTACCATCACCACCATCACCACCACCACTACCACCATCATCACCACCACCACCACTACCATCACCACCACCACTACCACCACCACCACTACCATCACCACCATCACCACCACCACCACCATCATCACCACCATCATCACCACCACCGTCACCACCACCACCACCACCATCACCACCCAAACCACCCTTCCACTCCACCCCATTCCCCCCACTCCCTGTGTTTAACAACAATGTTGTGGCTAGTGGTCAGTCTTCCGCAGGCACACAGAATATTTCTGTTTACCCAAAGCTCTATTTCCCATGGGTGGTCCCTCTGAACGTTTGCTCTCTCTTCACTCCTTGTCAGGGTAAAAAGAGCCCCGCTGGGATCAGGTGGGGCTGGGCATACAGCTAAGTGGGTGGAGTGCTTGCCAGGAGTGAAGGAAGCTCTGGGTCCCAGTCCATGAATGATGGTGACAAACACCAACAGTCCTAGCACTCTAGAGGCGGAAGCAGGAGGTCCACAAGTTCAAGGCCATCCTCAGCTACATAGTGAATGTGAAACCAACCTGTGCTATAGAAGTGTTTAAAACAAAACAAAACAAAAAGCCAGCTGTCCCAAACACCAGCCACAAGCCTCTGATTTTCTCTTTCTTGTCACACCTCCCTCCTTTACGTCATCATCCTATCCCTTTTCCAGTCCCCCCCTCCACCCCCTTAACCCCTCCCCCACAGTCATCTGGATCTCTGCTCCTGGCCCTGATCTATACCCCACCCCTTTCTGCTCCAGCAAGCTTCTAACATTTGCTCTAATGTAATCACAAACCTTCTTTTGGGGTTCCTCCTGGCAGCCAGCCCCTTTAACTTTTGCAATTCCAGAAGGCACACAGTGGCACATGCTTTTAAACCCAGCACTCAGGAGGCTGAGGCAGGTGGGTCTCTGTGAGTCTGAGCCCAGCCTGGTCTACAGAGTGACTTCTAAGCCAGGCAGGGCTGTCTAAAAAATAGAAAAATTCCTGGTACCCAAGTTGCTGGATCAGTGGAAACAACACTGCTGCCAAGCCTGATGACCTGAGTTTGATCCCGGGATACACAAACATTCTGCTGAAAAAAAAAAATCTAAAAGTAAAAAGAATGCCCATTCTGCCAGAAGGCAGTAAGTTTTTAGGAAGTTTTCCCATGCCCTGATCCCTCAATGCTCTCCTGACAGACTGGGCCCATTACTGTCACGACCACACTGAATGGAGACTTCTCCTCTTCCGTGTGCTGTGAATTCCTTGAGGACAAGGGTCACCTGCATCTTTATTATGCAAAAAAAAAATGTTTACCATGTAGTAAGGAGCCAGGGACATGGCTCTGTGGGGATGAAGACCTGGGTTCAATCCCCCAAACCCATGTAAGAAACAGCCAGGCAAGATGAGGTATACCTGTCCCTGGACTGGAGGAGGCAGGGACAGGAGATCTTTGGGGCTTGCTGGCCAGTCGAGCTAATGAAATCAGTGAACTCCAGATTCTACTGTGTTTAAATTTTATTAAAACTAAGATTTGGGCCTCATGGTCACGTTAGCAAAAACCCAAATGTCTATCTATATCACAACCATGTGTGGTCAACATGAGGCTGAGTCATACATAGATGGACAGCGTCTGAGGAAGACATCCCAGGTCTTCCTGTCACCTCCAGATACAGGAGCACGTACGTGAATGCATGTGCACCATCGTGCATACCCATGCATGCCCACAAGCACACATACACACATGCCCTCCACATGGCCACGAGTGTGCATGCACACACTCAAACACCCACAAGTGTGCACACACATACACCCATGCACGCATGCACACGTGCCCACAAGTGCACACAACTGTGCACACATACACACATACACACATGCACACACATGCCCTACACATTGCCACAAGTGTGCATGCATGCACTCACATGCCCACAAGTGTCTACACACCTACATCCATGCACACCCATGCACGCACGCCCACACCCATGCACGCATGCACACCTGCCCACGAGTGCACACACCCACAAGCGTGCAACGCACATACATACGTGCATACACACACACTCATTCACACACACCTACACAAACTGTATGGTAAGTGTTCGGTGGGACTTCTAAGTCACGTGATTACCTGGAAAGGAAGATGTGGCAGAGTCCAGGCCACCTGACACGGTCGCAGAAGACTGTTCACCTGGGGGCTACTGTCTGCACCCCTTCTGTGTGCCCCACCCCCACAGGTGCTGGCGTTACCTAGCATGGACATGTTCCTCTTCAGGATGAGTCCACAGGATACCTGCTGGAGTCTTCAGCAAAACCAGGAGAAGGTTCTGTGTACAAATGTGCCCCTATTTATCTCACGAGGACTTTGGCTTCAGTCTTTTCTGTTGCTCTGCCCCCTGGTTCCTATTATGAATCCCTTTCCTTCAAATCCATGTGTTGAGTTATAAAGCTGTTTGAGCCAAAATGCTAAAGGCATAGGCCATTACTGTTACCAAGACTCCATGGGTTTGAAGGTTAATATGGTCACTATGGTGGGGTTTAGTTTAGTTTAGAGACAGGATCTCTCTGTGTAGACCAGGCTGGCCTCGAACTCACAGAGATCCATCTGACTATATATTCAATATGACCAGCTGCCATGGCCCCTGCTGCCATAAATTCCCTGACATGACGGACTCTATTTTTGGACACTTATTTATCATTTTTGGGAAGGGATGCATGTCTGTGCGTATATACATGCATGTGTGTGCTCTTGAACATACATGTGCATGTGTGTATCACAATGGGCATGTAGCAGGGGCGTCAGTTTTCTCCATCTAACATATGGGTTCCAGGAACCAAATTGAAGCAGGTGCCTTTACCCTCTGAGACATCTCTACAGCCTCATTTCCAATTTTTTTTTTTGTCGTAGCATTCAGGCAAACGCTAACACAAAAGGAAAGGGCTGCTGTTGCTATCCCCCGGGTTTTTTTTTGCCCTCCTCTAGTTGGCAGGCAGCACATCTCTTTCGTCAAGGGCTCTTACCTGTCACCCCTCCCCCTCCACGCAGCCCCTTCTTCCTCCCACTCAAGTGGAGGAGGAACAAGGACCAGAGCGAGGCTCTAAGGTGGCGGGCACACTAAGCTGCATGTTAATTGCCATCCAGCATCTGCAGTGAGATTGGGCTGACGCAGATCGGTTGCCATGGAAATGGAATCAGGGGGCAGCTGGCTGGAGCCGGGAAGAAGGAGGACCCACTGATGATATTGTTGCAAATGGCTGCCTAGCTCCTAGGAATTCCCACCAGCCCTGCCTGGAAGAGACCACAATGGTCTTTAAAAAAACAAAAACTAAAAACAAACAAACAAAACAAAAACAACCCCCCCGCAAAAAAATAACCAAAAAAAAACAGAAGCTGGACTAGAGTGATGGCTCAGAGGTTAAGAGACATTGCTGTTCCCATAGGATTTAAATTCAGTGCGCAGCATCTACTACAGACAGTTCACATCCAGATCCTGGGGATCTAATGTCTTCGTCTCGTCTCTACAGCCATCCAAACACGTGTGAACATACACTCACAATGATAAATGTGCATGCACATAAATAAAAATAAATTTAAAAATTAAAAAGAAATTAGAAACAGAAGCTGCACCAGGCATGGTGGTGTACCATGTCTTTACTGCACCTGAGAGGCAGAGGTCTGCAGATCTTTGTGAGTTCAAGACTAGCTTGGTCCACACAAATGAATTCCAGGCCAGGTGAGGCTACATAATGAGACCCCTGTCTCAAAACAGAACAGAACACCACCAACAATAAAAACGCCCAAAACAACAAAAAACTGGAAGCTGGGGCTGGAAATAGAGCTCAGCTAATAGCGTGACTACCTAATGAGGCCCCGGGATCTATCCCCAGTACCTCATCATGCTGAGTGTGGGGGCACACGTCTCTAACCTCCAAAACTCTGGAGGCGGAAGCAGGAGGATTAGAAGTTCAAGGTCATCTTCAGACCAGCCTCCCAAGTCACATGGGTCAAGGTGACCTCCTTCTTCTTCTGGGCTTTTGGGAAGTGTCCAGGGTATCCAGGCTAGGGTGGGCAGTGAAGATCTTTGCCAAGTGTGGCTGGCATCCCCTGTGACTTTGCTCATCCAAGTTCATCTCTCATGTTTGGGAGCCCAGATGAATAAGGAGCACAGGCAGCCACCAAGGCAAGGGCTCGGAGGCACCCCCAAATGTGCTCAAGTGACATGGAGCTAAATGTGCCGAAACAGAAAGAAGGGGCAATTGCCTCAAAAGCATGGCCCCAGTTTTCCTACCAGGTTTCCGGGTTTCAATGTTTCCCCATGATACATGTGAGGCCCGGAATATTCTAGAAATGGCTACTGTGGCCTTTTCACACAGCACATGTAGGCAGTGAAAAAAACTGCCAAACACGTCTGTGATGGTCTACATAACACAAAAATCCACCTGCTCTGCATCTCAAGTGTGTGCGGTGTGTGGGTGCGTGTGCGTGTGCGTGTGCGTGTGCGTGTGCGTGTGTGTGTGTGTGTGTGTGTGTGTGACTAGAGTGGCAACTCATGCTTACAATCCCAGCACTGGGTAAGGGGAAGTAGGAGGGTGCAAGTTAGAAGCCAGCCTGGGCAATTCCTAAAGACCTCATCTCAAAATAGATATTGCCTGATGTGATGACACACGCCTTAATCCCTGCACCAGGAGCCTGGAGAAGGAGGACCTCTGAATTCGAGACCAGGCTGGCTACAAAGTGAGTTCCAGGACAGCCAGGGCTATACAGAGAAATACTGCCTTGAGATAGATAGATAGATAGATAGATAGATAGATAGATAGATATAAGTGGGTGGGGAGAGAGAAGGATGGGTGAGTGGGAGGGCTGGTGAGTGGGTGGAGGCACAGAGGGATGAATAGGTGGGTGGATGAATGAATGGATAGACAGACAGACATATTTTATTGTGTATTTCTTATAATTTAAATCACATAATTTCTAGACATATAAGCCAGTGGATCAGGGTGTCCATTTCTAGATGAATTCTATGTTGAATTTCCAGGAGAGGGAGAGAGTGCAGGTAATTTTATATATGCAAAATTCCCACACAATCCTTTGATGCATGCCAAAAACGCAGGTTGTTTTTTATTTTTAATTTACTTCGTGGTTCTGCTGTTCTCTCAGATCTGTACCAGGTTCCCTCTCCCCGCTCCCCCACCTCTTTTAATGGGCGGATGTGCGGTGAAGAATGATGTCTTTTTTTTTTTTTTCCAGCTGCTCACAACCCACCGGTCTCTGACAATTCTCGAACCTGGGTCGTTTGTTACTCCTAAAATGGGGTAGGAAGGTTGATGTTGATCTTTTCATCACGGAGACATGGGTCCTGGTGAGCCTGGGGAAGAATCTGTCGGCTCAAGGTCCCATTTTTTTTTTTTTAAATCATTCCCAGGGAGGAAATGGCAGACTGGCCTCCTCAGCTGTAGACTAGTACCTGCGCCGCCCCTAAGCCAACGCAATCACGGTGGAAATCTCTAGAAAAAGGCGACATCTTAAAGCAAAAGCGCTGCCCCATGCAGGCAATGGGGGGCGATTCTCCCTGGGGGAGGCTGAGGCACCACGACCTCTCTCCCAGCCCACCCGGGGTTCCCAGCATGCATCCATGCTCCCTGTCCCTCCCCCCCAGTGAGTACCAGTCCCAAGCATCGAGATGGATGTGTTTCCCAGGGCAGAGTGCTGGAGGCAGGCATCGAGGGAGAGCAGGGAGACACCCTTAGTGCTGGGCGACTTCTGAGCACAGGGGTGTCCAGCAGGGGTACGACCCCCGAGTCATCTCGGTAGCTCAAGTTCCAGATAGCACTGGACAGCTCCAGGCAGGCTCTGGCTTGCTTACCTGCAGCCACCCTCGCCGGGCCGAAAGGCAGGAGGCAGGCGAGCCAGAAGACAAGGCGGAGGTAGGACCAGACATCGGCAGCCTTGGCCATGGCGCAGCGTGAATGCCGAGGGGCTCCGGGTGGATGCGCAAGGAGCAGGGCTGGAGCTCCGCAGTGGCGACTCCGTACGGCTGTGCGTGGAGACGACGCAGCGCTCCACTGTCCCCGCCTGCAGCCACCTCCGCCCACACAGCCCTCCCCGGAGCCTCAGAGTCCCTCCCCTCAAGGGATCACACACAGAGGCAAGCCTTACTTCACCAGGTGCGCATGCTCTCTTCCAGCATCTTGCTTCTGTCTGATCCAGAGCCATCTTTCAAGCCCTGAGACAGGGTCTCTTTACTGAACCTTTAGCTCATCAAGTTAGTTAGACTGACTATCAAGGAGCCACTGGAGTCTGCCTACCTCCATTCCTCCCAGCACTGGGGCTACAGACGCTCACCGCGACTGACTTTTGCACGCATGCTGGTGATCCGAACTCAGATCCTCATGCTCGTGCAACAAACAACTCACCAAGCCCCCTCCCTAACAATCTCTCTTACTGTCCTTCACTGCTTTGAATCCATTTTGTGCTTATAGAATGTCTCCACTCAAACTAACTACAGTTCCCTACTGATGAATGAATGCACACACTTGCCTCGTGGCGGTGGTGCACGCCTTAATCTCAGCACTCGGGAGGCAGAGGCAGGCGGATCTCCGTGAGTGGGAGGCCAGACTGGTCTATAGAGCGAGTTCCAGGAGTGGTACTGGAAAACCCTGTCTCGAAAAAGAATTCAATGTACACACTTAACTGTTGTTGACTAGTTTTGTTTTTTCTTTTCTTTTCTTTTCTTTTTTTTTTTTTTTGAGACAGGTTTTATTGTGTAGCCCTGACTATCCTGGTATCCTGGAACTAGCTCTGTAGACCAGGCTGGCCTCCAACTAACAGAGATCGGCCTGCCTCTGCCTCCTGAGTGCTGAGATTAAAGGCGTGGACCGCCACTGCCCAGCTTGCTTTTGCTTTTTGAGACAGGTTTTCTTCTGGACATCTCAGGCTGGTCTGGAACTCACTTTGTGGCCATGTGTCATTGTCTTCTTGGGAGGACAGCTATGCCCCTGCTCCTCCTGAGATCCAGCCAATGTTTCCCCTTGCCTAGATGGGGTGCCCCTGATCCCGTTAGGCTTCCGTACTCTATACACTGTAGTACTTCCCTGGGCCACAAGCTCACAGATGAGGCAGAATTCCATACCGCTGACTAAAAGGTACAGGAGGGAGTGGTTGAGAGAACCCATGCTTCTCTTTCTATGGGGAAAACTCAGCAGTCAATAGGCCCAATCTTGAGAGTCGCTGGCAAGTAGTTGCAGCATCTCAGAAGAAGATAGTGGCTGTCATGCTCAGAGGACCAGGGACCAAGGATAGGTATGGCTGATAGGACCTCATTTCAGCAGAGTTCCTTTGGGCTAATATTTCTGGGAAGTAGAAAGTTCACCTTTATTATCTAATTCTAAGTGTGTATGTACATGTGTGTGTGTGTGTGCAGTCAAACGCATGCTAGTGTATGTGTGGAGGGCAGAAGATGACTTGCAGGAGCTGGGTCACTCCTACCACCTGGGGCCAGGGGATGGAACTCAGGCCATTAGGCTGGGCAGTGAGCATCTTTGCCTGCCTTGTCATCCCGTTGCCCCTCACTGACTTTTGTTAATGGTGGCCTTTTGAAAGCAGATTATTCTGTCTGTTGGTCTTATCAAGGTGGTGCGATTGAGTATCTGTTGGTCACAGATGGCAGAAGCCCCAGGGTTCATATTCCTCCTAAGGCAAGATAATGAAGCAGGGAAAATCTTGGCGAGGTGACGAGGAGAAAGGCACTCTTTTATCTTAGAACGTGGTTAAAGTATCTTACCAGGAGAGAAGCAAGAATTCCTGCATATCTGCATATATATGTATATGTATATATATATACATATATATGTGTGCGTCATGTATGATCATACAGACACATATATCCATTAATAAAAAAATTGAGATTTTTTTTTGTTTTTTTTTTGAAACTGGGTTTCTCTGTGTAGCTTTGTAGTCTATCCTGGAACTCGCTCTTTAGACCAGGCTGGTCTTGAACTCACAGAGACCCACCTGCTTCTGCCTCCCGAGTGCTGGGATTAAAGGTGTAGGCCACCACTGCCCTGTGAAAATTGAGATTTTTTTTTTAAAAAAATAGAACTCCAGCACAGTTAACAACTGCTTAAGGTCTGTGATAGTATGAGTATGTACAGCCCCCATAGACTCATGTGTTTGAATGCTTGGCCCATAGGGGATGGTACTTTAAGAGGTGTGGGTTGTTGGAGGAAGAGTGTCACTGTGGAAGCAGGTTTTGAGGTCTCATATGCTCAAGCTATGCCTAGTGTGTCACACGGTCTCCTGCTGCTGCCTGAGGATCAAGATGTAGAACTCTCAGCATCTTCTCCAGCCCCATGTCTGCCTGTGCACCGCCATGCTTCCCGTCATGACGAAAATGAACGAAACCTCTGAACCTGTAAGCCAGCACCAATCAAACATTTTCCTTTATAAGAGTTTCCATGGTGACGGTGTCTCTTCACAGCAATAGCAGCCCTAGCTAAGACAAACAAGGCCTTTCTCCTTTCCCAGCTGTAAATCTGCCGTATTCAAAGATTCTCACAGGAAGATTCATTTTTTAGGAAGAAGACATGTACTATAAACTCTATCTGAACTTTTGCAGTTTCTTGCTTTAATTTATCAGATTATAATGTCATCCTAGGCATGTGCCGATCCATCTACCATCTCACTTAACAAAGAAACGACAAGAGGTGAAGGGTGTTTCTTAGAAACCTTTAGAAAGAAAGATTTAATTTTAATTTTATTTAGGTAGGTGTGAGTGTGTGTATTTGTGTCTGAGTCTCTGTGTGTGTGTGTGTGTGCACTGAGTGCAGGCATCCACCGAAGCCAGAAGAAGGCATTGGAGCCCCTGAAAGAGAAGTTACAGACAGTTGTGAGCAGCCTGATGTGGATTCTGGGAACCAAACTCAGGTTTTCTGGAAGAGAAGTAAGTGTTTTTCTCCCGAGTCATTTCTTTAGCTCCTATTAGCGATCTTTTGAGACAAGAGCCATCGAAATGGCCGATTTGGTTAATGCTAAGACAGTTAACTGCTTATCCTCCCTTAGTTTGGTTGCCCCACCTATGCTTCCTGCCTGGCTATTAGCCAATCAAGCATTTTATTAAAAAAAAATACAAGTGACAAATCTTTATAGTGTACAAAAGCATTCTCACACAGTATGGGCCCTACAATATCAACCATTAATCAAGAAAATGAACCACAGACTTGCCAAAAGGACAACCTGATGGAGATGCTTTCACAGTTGAAGTTACCTCCTCCCAGATGACCTTGGCTGCATCAAATTGACAAAAAAAAAAAAAAAAAAAAAAAAAAAAAACAAACAAACAAGCAGAGATGTACTTCAGTGTTTGAGAAGCTGTGGCAGAGAATACCAAGGTTTTCGAAGCCAGCCTGTGCTCCATGTCTACAAGCCAACAACAAAGATGGAGCCACTAGTGCCAGCCCTTCCATGAACAGCTAAAACCTAGGGAGTATAGAGAAATGATCCTTGTGCATAGCTGCCCAGCACAGTCTTGAATGTGCTCTCACCTTTTCTTGCTTGGATTCTGTTTTTGGTATTTGTTTTGAACCCAGGCCTGCTCACCTGAAGATTGATTTGTACAAAGGACGATGGGGCAACATAACTATCCTGGAAACAGTGAAGGTACACCAAATAGACACCGGTCCTGGGTTTGAGTATAAGACTTTGAAGCAACGCACCCCAGAATTAACAGAATAGCTCCAGGAATTTCATACAGGCAAAGGGAAAAAGAAGAAGCTTGGTGTTGAATGGAGGAAAAAGATGCCTAGAGTTCTGGTCACTTGTCAGATCATCTGGCAGGAGACACTGGAGCAGAGGTGGGTGTGGCCACACCTCAGGACTGCTGAGTTTGCATACTTTGTGCTTTATATTAAAACTCACCGTGATGTCAGGACCCGAAAAATGGACTGTGGTGTCACTGGATCTCGATATCTGTTCCATTTCCCAATGTGGCCACTTAAATTAATCTTTCTCTATTTTTTTTGTTTACTTTTGATTTTGAGACAGGGTCTCTCCATTATAGAGAATGATTATCCTAGAACTCACAGTGTAGACCAGGCTGGCCTTATACTCACAGAGATCCTCTAATTCTGCCTCCAGATTGATGACTAATAATAATTTTTTAAGAAAAAGCTTGGAGGGGGCTGGAGAGATGGCTCAGTGGTTAAGAGCACTGCCTGCTCTTCCAAAGGTCCTGAGTTCAATTCCCAGCAACCACATGGTGGCTCACAACCATCTGTAATGAGGTCTGGTGCCCTCTTCTGGCCTGCAGGCATACACACAGATAGAATACTGTATACATAATAAATAAATAAATATTTAAAAAAAAAAAAAAAGAAAAGAAAAAGCTTGGACCACCACACCAGTCTTTCTCTGTTCTTCGCTGCTGTCTAACAGGCCTTTGGATAATGGGTGGCCAAAGTCTAGGTGTTAGGGCTGCCAGGGCCCAGGCATATGTGCCCCAAACAAATCAACTCAGGTCCTAGAAGTATATCCAAAGCAGACTGGAGTTTTCCAAAACTGGTGGCAAGAGTGTTTCTTCTAGAATCTTCTACTCTCTATGAACGGATGGGCCATGTTTCCCTCCCCTTGCAGCTATTGGCTTTTGGCACTGCCCTGCTGCATGACTGACTTCTAAGGCCAGACTCTGAGAGACCTTCTGCTGGGTCACCACCACCAGATCCCAGCTGTCCCAGATGGCAGCAAGCATAACAACCCTTGGTAGATCTAAGTCAGCAAGGTTTCACACCCTTGAGAGCCTAGCTGGTGGGCACACTGCCTGCATCTTGGGATGCAGCTCCACCCCCACCCTCCCAGCCTGCGGTCAATGAAATCTCATAGCTGTAACCAAAATTAGTGTGGTTATCACCTAAGGTTGCTAATATTTGAGGGTCTTATTAGTTGAAATTATTAGAGAAATGAAAGGCACCCACCACCAGGTTGTATAAACTAACCCAGCTGGAAACTTCTACTGGGTAGCAGTGGACACTGATCATGGTTTCTACACTGGGCTACTCTATGACCACAAAGAGACAAAAATGGGCTGGAGAGATG